AATAAATCAAGAACATTTCTTCATTGAAAAAGGTGCTAGGATTTGTGTTGGAGGCTTTTTGCTATTAAGTAGCTAAACTATTCAAGACATCACAACCAGCTTCTGTGAAACATGGTCATCAATATCAATTATATTATATTCCTTCCCATAGTTATCAGTTATTGTTTTAGAAAAAGTACTCACTCTTCAAATGAAGAGGCAGTACAATCACAATCAATCATCTTTTAAATTTGAACATTATGGACCATTATCTAAGAATTGGAATTAAGTGGCTGAACATGACGGTATCTGAAATACTGTTGAATTGCTCTAGAGTCTTGTATGACCTTTGTCCTTTGAATAATTTAATTAATTTCCATAGCTGAGATCATAGATTGGTAACCTCTTAGTTGGTAAGTGCTCTGCATGCATTTGAATCTGTGCTTTTCCAAAGTGGTTTAACAACCAAAAACAGTGGCTATGTAGTTTAAAGTGGACCAAAATTCTTTGAGGTCTTTGAGGTTGATTGCAAAGGATGCTATATTCTTCAAAGTTAGAGCAATTTCCAGTGGTTTCTCCCTTACCTCCTTGCTGGCCCTTGAGTGCTCTCAAGTCTAATCAAGGACTGTCTGCTTCTTCTGAGGAATTTGATGAAAAGATGAACTCATACTTCCCCTCAAACCAACAAGAGTTTAATTATTCTAAAGTTTTCTCAGAGCTTCCCCTGGGAAAGCTCCCCTCAGAACTCGTCACATTCCAAAGTGAGCATCAGGGCTGCATCCTCACACGCACACGTCCGCTAATGTTGCAATCAATGAAGGCCTGTCTGCTCATCATTAATTGAGTCACTTCCTCAAATCCAATCTAGAGACAGTCAGTTAATGGTCAACCCTAATGAGTTTGTATTGTCAAAGATGTATATGAATGGCTTCAGGTGCCACCGCTGCAGTTGGATTTTTAGCCATTGACTAATGCCGCTAATGGGCCTATTTTTCAACAGGTAATCAGACGAAGTCAATGAAAGGGTTAATAGAGCAGAGAAATAAAAATAAATGGCCTCCGTTCATCCAGACTAAGAAAGTTTGCGAGAATTCCTGTCTGGAGCGCAAAAGAGTGGCTACAAAATGAGCATATATAAGCTTCAGAGTTTTGTTGGGTTGTGATACCAATATGCAGACGTAAAAAGGTATGTTTGTTTTGCTTTAATAATGAAAAGATACATTCGCACACTGAGCTATGAGAAATGACTGCTCAGAAGAAACCCTCAGGGTTAGACACACATAGAGAGGTGTGTGTGTGTGCGTGCGTGCGTGTGCGTGCGCGTGTGTGTGTGTGTGTAGGGGGGTTTCTTTTGAACTCTTTTCATTTATTGTTCAACACAGTAATCAAGGCAGCAGGATACAGTCAGGATAGCCTTGGATTTAATGCCTGAGAAGTAAATGCTTGTTTTTAAAGAAGTGCTGGTCTTGCAAATGATGAAAAACTAAGCTAAACCAAACTATTCTTATTTTATTGTGACGACATTAACAGCAGGAGTGCAGCTGAGATACAGATGCTTGTACTTACAAGACCACAATTCTTGTTTTTAACGCATGTCTAAACAATCTAATGACCACAACAGCAACTCAAACATTTGTCCTCTCACACGTTGTCTGCATGAGGGCGACAGCTCATTAAGATAGAAATCACAAAAAACATTTAGATTATGTGCTCAAACGTATTGAAATCAAACCAGAACATTCTGTTTTAGTTAATATTTTTATGCCTTGTGAACTGCTCTCTTCTTGCTGATTTTTTATTTTTGAAACTGCCCCAAAGCTGCCATGAGCTCCACATTTCAGGCCCATTCTTTAACATTTGAACCCTCGGAAATAATAAAGGGGTTCCTTCTGCCATTAAAGCAATCCTCTTTTCCCAGTGGATCACACTAACCTCCAAAGCTGGAGATAAATCTAATAAAATGGCTTTCAAAACAGCTACAAGTAAACAAACTTGTAACATATCAATCTGAGCTTAAGCTGCCAAGCTTCTGTAAAGCACTTTGGAGTAATACTCTTTATCAGCTGAAAGTTTGATGTTTATGGGTCACAGGAGTTTCTGCTGGCAAACCAAAATATTACTCTTCAATAAAATCTTTATCTGGACACTTCTTACCACTTCAAATAAAAAAAAGATTTCTGCTTGTTTTCACCTTCAAAGCAAATGTCTGCAGCTTTCTGCTTTAATGTTGGAAGCTTTAATGGATCAGGAAGTTTAGCGGTCAGAATTGTTATGATTTATAAAAATGACTCAGGTTTGTTTTTTTGTTTCTTAATGCTTATGTGTAACCTCAAGGCATCTGCATTATTTTAATGATTTTTTTTAATGAGAGCAGTATGGCTCAAAGAGTGGATTAGTGTTCCCTTTTACCCGTGGAACAATTCAGAGCACCTGACGAGGTGTTTACTGCCTCTGCATTTTTGGCTTCAGCAGCCAAACAAGCTCAAATAAACTGTGAAAAGGTGAGCTGGGAAACAATAGCCTATGGCAGTGAGAAATTATCGATCCAGCTTACAAGTTTCAAATCCCACGTCTCCTCATTTCATGAAATATACGTAATGAAAAGAGTTTTAATTAGTTTATTTTAGCCACAAGGTTATTTTCCTACAGCTTTCTGTGCTTTGGCTCGCTGCCAGGCTCCAGTGTCTCAGCTCTAAGTCAGAAAAACAGTCACAGACATGTGTTCAGGTTTTGTTACACAGACAACATCCGCTGTTGTTCAAGAGTACTTGGGAATTCTAACAGTTGTTGTTGTAGTTCTGTATGCCAGTATGCTGTTTTGGAAAGAAAAAGGCAACTCCTAAGTCGAAGTCTTGACTCTTGGCATTTGGGGTTCTGTATCCCTCTCTTATTGTACTCTGAGATGGAGTTTGAGGCAGCTTGTACTTTGTATTATAGCAGGGATTGTTTTGGGGGGATTTTTAAAAGAAATTATTTTGTTGTCTTTGCTGTCAATTTTCTGTGATATTTTTTACGTCTGTATATACACTTAGTTCTTTTTGATAATACGGTGGGGGAAATAAGTATTTGACCCCTTGCTGATTTTGCAGGTTTGCCCACTTACAAAGAATGCTTATTTTTCCTCATCAGATGGTTATCAATTTTTATAAATTCATATGATGTGATTTTCTGGAATTTTCTTTGGGATTCTGTCTTTCACTGTTAGAATGTACATATGATTAAAGTTATAGATTGTTGCATTCTTTGTAAGTGGGCAAACCTGCAAAATCAGCAAGGGGTCAAATACCTATTTCCCCCACTGTATGTTTAAGTTGTTGTTTAGTTGTTGTTTTGTTTGTTTGTTTGTTTGTCTTTTGTGTAATCGTTGTTATGTAGTTTATCGCTTTGTTATCTCCGACAATTGCGCCCAGTTTACTGTTTTAGAATTCTTCCATGCTTGGCAGAGTGCCAATGAAACCTGAAGCAGATTATTGTTTCAGCTTAAAACATCAAACTTGCACAAACCCTTTAAGTATCGAACCCAATGGCCGTTGTTTTAAATCCTTTTTAAGGCTTAGTAACGACTCTAATGATTTTACACATTAAAATCAGCTTTTAAATACACTTGTAAAACATGTCCCTGTAATATCTGTGATACCTGTGATGCACAGATTTAGATTTGTATCTTTTTAGGCTAATTAATTGACACAGCTTGTATGTGAAGTTCTAAATTGTTTACACTGAATACCCTGAAGGTATCTGGCATCAGGTGGATGTTGTCCAAAATACCACTTTCTTTGCTTGTTCAGTGGTCAATTTTCCTTAAAAATCGTAAGAGATGTGGAAAAACTCAGTACAAATGTCATGGGTCTGCCACTTCCTTTCAGCATTTTTTACTCAAGGATTGTCTTTCTTTTTTCTGTTGGTGCCAGGATTCACAACTCCTGAGTGCTTACACCTTCATATTCATGTCTCACTGCAACTTGCAGGCTCATATTGCTTAGCAAGAGAGTTCATTCACTCTTCCATCACTGATTACTCCTGGTGAGGCCTGACCTCCAGCTGTCAGCACTGATTCTCCCGTGGATGTTCAGTTTGCTCAACCCCAGCATCACTTAAAGCCAGTACTGCATTAAGCCACACCTACAGGGAACGTCACTTTACTGCACTACCTCAATTTTCTCATTAATTCAATGGAAGGCCGGCAGTGCTGCTGGTTTCTAACGTAGCTTTGTGCCCCATGTGTTTTACTGACCGCTTTGATGAAAAGTGAGATTTAAAATTTCAAGCTGCAAATTCAGCTTGGAATTGCATCTGTTATGTGCCATTAGCCACAAAAATGAGAGCACAGGGAGCGTCTGATGCTGCAACTTGTTACCATGAGCTGCCCTGTGGATCACCAGAGCTGAAAAACATACACCATAACTCCTGTGCTGTGGAACCAGAAACGCTGACAGTTTGCACATGATGTAGAAAGTAGATGGAAGGCCTGCGGGTGAGTAAAACTAAGGAAATGTGTTTTGTTCTGTAGCTTAAGCCTTGTTATGCTCTGGGTTCAGCTGGGAACACAAATCATCTCATAGAGATGATATCATTTGTCTCTGAAACTCTTACTCCTAATAGGAGAAATGTCATATGACAGAAACAGATTGTTTTAGTGGTGATTTGGTTGATTCATGCTAATACTGGAGATTATTCATGCCTTCCCTTTGGATTGTGGATTAGTTTGGCAACTGTCCAACTGGCAGGAAATCATTGTCCTTGGTGTATTTTTTTGTGAACAGCTTTCTGTTTTTTTACACTTACAACACTCTTACTACTCCATCCATAAGATGAGGCTCGAATAGCACAGAGGCTGACCTTCAGTGTCCACACCGCAGGCAACCAGAGGACCAGTCCCTCAGCAGGAGAGGGCCCTGCACTGCTGCTGCCCTCACCTTCACCTCTTTTTCCTGCCCTACAGAAAAAGAAACTCTAATTGCTAACAAGTGTTCTTTTTTGTCTTTGTCTCTGTTTGTCTGTGTGCTTCGCTGCCTTAGCAGAATCCCTGTTCAGCGGCCTGGGGCTCGGTGCGGTGGTGGGCCTCGGCCTTGGAGCTCTGCTGCTGCTCCTGGTGCTGGTGGACATCAGCTGCTTCTTCCTGCGCCACTGCGGCCTGCTGATGTGCATAACGCGCACTCTCTGCAGCAAGAAAACAGCCACGAGTGGCAAAGGCAAAGAAATGGAGGAGGGCAAGGCTGCCTACCTGTGAGTATTTCCTTCCTTTTGTGCTAATGCAGGCAGAAGCTAATGCTCCTTGAATCACCGGCAAGTCACCAGGTTCTTCATGCTTGTAGAGGGAACATCTGCTGTGGGTGTATCTAATTACTTGTAGGTTGCATTGGGTCATTTTTGTGCTGCATGATTTGATGCTACGGTATCCTGCAATTTCTGAATGGCAGAATCAGTTCAAAGACATACAGATATTTATCTTTGAGAATTTTAAATGACCATACGTGTCTAGGAAAACAATTTTAAGATCTTTCATCAATTAAGTCTTTAGAAAAGGTGATATTTTATCAAGGATTCACCTGCAGTGCAGCCCTGTTCTCAGGTTTTACAGACTGTTGTCACTTTTCACAAAGAACACAGAAATACTGTGCAGCCTTGATTACCCTTATATTTACTATGAATAAGAAAAGGAGACCTCTGCTTACTATTTACTGTAGGTACACCTACAACAGCCGTCCAACCACCCTTTCAACCACAGTATGTTTCTGATTATGTCTTACTCACTTAAGTGCCTTTCATTCATTGTTTGGGGTCTACATCAGTCATTTGCATGCCGTTTGCTTGTATACTCATGATGTATTTACATATACATATGCTTTCCTTTGTGTGCTTCACTTTGTCCTCTGTGTTCAACACATGCATGCAAAGTGACCCAGCAAAAATCTCATTGCATGCACTGTTCACAAAAGCCAGTTTTTTCCTCTCAACAGACAGTAACCTTTCTAGAAGCATTTGCCTGAAATTCACCATACAATCGATTGTCAAATTTCATCCCACTGTGTCTCGCAGGGAGCAGGAGAGAGTCAGGATTTGTAAGATGACACCCACAGAGTGTGATTTATTGGCCTTCAAAAAGCCATTTTTGTTTTGAAACGGTCAGTGTGCCCACCCAGTGTCTACAGTGTTCAGAGGGCACAAAGACAGAGAGAAGAACGGGTTTGGACTTTTTGCTGAATCACTAATCTCACAGAGCTGATTGACTGGTTGCGCAGACAGCACACACAACTTGTTTCTGTTAGACATTGTTCGTTCTGGCTGCGTTAGACTCAAGTAAGCTGACTCGAATAAAATGCAGTGACAGATTTATGGAAGTTGAACATTTTGCACCAAAAAAAACTCTCCTGATATGAACTCTCCTGAAATGCGATCTGTTTACAATATGCACCTTTTATCCATGCACAGTGACTCTGACACATCATTTTAAAACTACGCTCATGGGGCGTTCATGTAAAAACATAAACTGATCAGCTCTACCATATAGACTAAGGGAAAAACAAGAGAAAATGTATTTCTTTGCAAAACAGGACATTTGACTGTGTACGACATTACAATAACAGATATGAAATACAGAAAAAATTTGTGCAACACCGAAAGAGTTTAACATGAATGAGAAAAACACAAGAGAAAATATTTGACACGTTACACTGAGGCTCCAAAGCTTAAACAAAAAGCTCTTTTGGCTGTTGTTTTTTTTTAATATTCCTCCCTTTCTTTTTTCCATGATCTGCTGTTAAGTTTTTTCTCGTTATTTTGTGTTGTTATGTTTTCTTATTTGCATTTTTATCCTCAATTTTTCTTGTGTTTTGCTTCTTTTAGACTACCACACATACGCTGTAAGGCTTGCTCGGACTTGTTGCGACAGTTACACTGCTGAACGCCAGAAAGTTGTTAAACTTGTTTAACTTTCTGTGATAAGGTTTGAGCATTGTGCGTTGACGTCATTACATTGAAGATAGTGTTGAACAAAACTTATATTAAAACCAGAAAGAACACATTCTAAATAGAGCTGGACTACCTATTTAGGTTTAAAATTGCCCAAAAGTAAGACATTCTCACTGCGATTATGAAGACTTTGAATCTGAAGGTTCTTGGAATATTTTGAGTTATTGAGACTAGTAAATCTGCTTTCAAATGTATACAAAGACATCCTGAATGTAGAGTTAGTAAAGTGCTTAATAGCAGGAGTTGACCTTTAACTTATGGAGGAGATAAGTTTGCATGCACCTTTCAGTCCTAAAAGTGTTGTTAAGGCATCTCTGGGTTACCAGAGTTAACCGCTGTGTTACCTCCATGTTGAGCAGAAGCTTTGAAGTCACCAGCAGCCAAGTGTCCAATCAGCATTGGAGTTTTAGAATGTCTTTTATAGGGTCTGTTATGAAACTGTCGATATTTTTCAGATTAAGTCTGCACACCCTTGGCCTCATAGCTGCCACGGGATCAGTTAAGAGTAAATGACAAAAGCTAGTCTTTATTTCCATCCAGTTCAGTAGGAAGTTCTTAAGTGTGTACTGTAGAAAACATAGCCAACATTTAAGCAGGTCATCACAGATGACATCTATGTCACACAGTCATTTCTGACTCTGTTGCTGTGATTTAGCTCTTTCAAGCTGAAGTTTAAAGTCATCATCCAAGTGTTAAACACCAAATGTAATTGCACTGACATGAAACCGAAGTGGTGGATGTCAAGTCTTTCTGAATATCAGTTTGATTGTGTGAGCATCATTGTCTCCGGTTGTTTTTTGGGGGATTTTGCTGTTGTTAGTCATGGTGGTAAATCCACTTCCATCCTTTCAGACACAGGCATAGATTTATTTTCCTCTCTGGACCTTTAAGAAGCTTTCCTGGAGGCTACTAAAGTTCAGTCCCGGCTTTAATACAGAACTGCTATTCTACTAACCGTAATATGCAATTACCCACCCATCCGTCTTTCCATCCATCTATTTTCTGTACCGCTTATTCCCAATGGGGAAAGAAAGTCAGTGTCAAATAAAGCTGAATTGACAGTGACATTTTAAAAGTATAGGGGATGTTTTTCTGATGTCCGTAAACATTTTGCTTTCTGCTCGGACTTTAGAAGTTGGCGTAGTCACACTGTGACAGATTTGACTTGGAGGGGACCAGGCTTTTGAATGCCTCCGCGCATACCTGATGCCTCACAGCAAAAAATATAAAACAGAATGGTAGATTATAGTTTAGGCTCTGGAATCCCACAGCCACAGGAAGAAAACAATTCTACAACAATGTTGAGAGCTGGAAGAAAATAAATTTCTTGAGATGGCTGTCAGTTATTTAGATTTTTGTTATTTAAAAAGCTCTTTCTGTCCACTAATGCTTCCTTTCATTGTTGAAAAATATCCTTGCTGTCATAATTGTGAAGTAAAACAAATGTGGATGAAAACCTTAACTCATTTTACATCCCTGGGGGAGCTGGAATATATCGCAGCTGCTATTGAGTGAGAGACCGTGTACACGCTGAGCAGGTTGCAGGTCATTTTCAGGGCCAACGCAGAGAAAAACAACCATGCAGAAGGAAACACCCTTTTACAGTCAAATAATAACCCCAATTAACCTGACATAGTCTTTGGAGGCTAGATAGAAAAACAGTTTTTTCTATTCACACATACAGAACAGTCAGAGATGCACATAATGCACTTGTGTTGTCTTCCAAAAGCATGATATGATAATGCTCTTGTGATGATGCTTATCCACAGAAAAGCCTGAATGTGTGAAATGTTGCACAGAGAGAAAAGTGTGAATAGGAGGATCATTTCAAACGATTATTTTAGATTCTAGTGGAAAATGAAGTCAGTTTTTATTCCAATATTTTGCATTTTCTGCTGCAGTTTTACTAACTCTTCTAATTGATACATACATTGATATGTTTATTTCTATCATAGAGTATATAATTTATCTAACAATGGTAACAGAGAAAATTAAGATTTCACATGTATACATTAAGCAGGAAATGTATTCTAATGTATTAATTAAAAATGAAAGATTCTTTGTCCTCTTTATGGTTTCCAGCAGATGCCCCATTTCAGTTACTGCTGGAACCTGTTTTTTGTTTGTTTTTTCCCCTCTGTATTTTATGCTGGCTGGAACCGACTTTTCAGTTTGTGGTAATTTTTTTCATGCAGATGAAACTTAAATTTTGACTGGTAGATCAAAAGTGACACTTTTAGACATGGCAGCAAGACAAGTAAGAAACTGTGTGTGTTGAGAAGCTGAAACAAGAGGTGAAAAGCTGTGTTTATGATTGGTATTCAGTTTTTTCTTGCATTGCATTTACATATGTACTCCACAATCATGTAAACGGTCTCATTTACCAAAAAGTCAGCTTAGAAGGTTGCTAATTCTCATGTCAACAGCTGAGTTTTCAATCCCGACATGTTTCATTTCCTGTGACAAAACTTACATGTCTGCATTCATTCTAAGATCAGAAGAAATAATGTTCACTTGAGACAAAAGAGTTCCAGCAGAACAGATAAGAAAAAAAAACTTGGTTTAAATGTATCTTGGAGCAAACCTAATTATCTTTGTGAGAAGCGGGGATTGCAGGGTGTTTGTTTGCTGCCTAGATGACACCATGCTTAATAAATACGTGCAGAGGAAAAAACAAGTTGTCTTGGCTGCACGTTGGTGTCACCAAAAAGCTTAAAAATAACTCAAACCCCCCCACCCTCCACACACATTCAACATTCAAAGCAACATTCAAAGACCGTATAGCAATTCTCCGTGGCTTGCTTTACCAAACATGGCTCTACAGTAAATGGAACTTCTTTCTCTGTATGTACAACATGAGTTTTTCAGAGGTCAATACATATAAAAAGGGCAAAAATATAGCACACACTGTTAAATTCCCTCCGCCTGGAAATGTTTGATATTTTCTACTGTTTGGAATTATGGTGCAGCTATGCAATCAAATAATACATTTACACCAATAGAAACATGTCTTCATATTATACAACACATCATTTCATGTTTACGGGGAAAATTATAACCTGCAGTTTAGTTTCAAGAAAATGAAAGTGAGAGAAACAGCATGGGAGCTTTCAAAAAGAGTTTTGGCAATATGGCTGTGTGTAACACAAAGCTTTTAGCTCTGAGATAATTTACAACCCTTCTAGATAAATGTTTGACTTCTTACCACATGGCAAAATCTTAGAGAAGATTCCTGTGAACAGTTTTTTTTTTTTCATTTTAACAGGGTGGAAAAGGCATGACCCACACTTTACTGCATCTGATTGGCTAACTCCTGCCCAGCAAGCCCTCCACCGATTTGATGAAACACTAATCATTCTAAATTTGCTGTCCACAGATCAAATACTCTGGTCAGTATTTTTAGTCAATAAGAGCAGGCCCCCACTGATGGCTAAAAAAATGGACCTTGCAGCACAGTATTGAAAAAACTATGACAATCTTTGGCAGAAGATGCCAGAGTTTTCAGGATATCCTGAAAGCTTTTTACTCTAACTGCTCTAACTCTTGTTTTTAGTCAGATTACAGTAAACATGAAACTTAATAAATAGATAAGGATAACAATATAATACTTCAAACCAAAATGGCGACTGTGGATTATACATTTTGAAGTTAAAAAAAGAGTTATAATGTGACTTGTGCAACTGAAGACTAATTATCACAGACTGTAGCACACACAGTTTGAGCAACAGTTTGTATGCACATCACTGACAGACATCAGTCTCTCATTTAATCTCCATTTTATCAACTATTTGTTGTAAAATTCTTGATTTTTCTGTTCAGCAAATGCATTTGTGGTTATCTTTATTTCTCGTCTACACTCAATAAAGATGAAACGGCAAGCAGTAGCACCTTCCCATAAGTTGAGAAAGCCTCCCAATCTGAACATGAGTCCAATCAGAGTTTGCATGAAACTAATGAGACATGAAATTGGCTTTACTTTGGAGGCACTGTAGAGCTTCCACCAGTCAACTAAAGGGAAACCCCCTTCTAGCCACTTGCAATACTTGAGCTTGTTGGGTACAGTATCACGCATTGTTGCCGTTTTACATTCATGGCCTGGCTCCATGAAAAACTCACAGACATTTTTAAATGCCTACATGGTAGTTTATGGGTAATTTATGTGCTGATTTTTAACATCCACAAAGGCTGTCATTCAAATTTTCTGTGAACCCAGTTTACTATAGATGTTTCCCTTTTTACATCAGATTATTTGACGGTGAGTGAATATATTTGTTGAAATGGTTATCTTATTAATACTTTGTATGATATCAAATGTAACTGAATTGACTAATTGCCTGTTTTCCAGTTTTATGAGTTGTGTTAAGATGGTGTTGTAAATCCACAGTTACCAGTAATTTTACTTCATTGTAACAGCAAAACAGCAGACCTTGCAAAATACTATTTTATTTATAACCAAGGGAAGATATAGATGTAGCTTTTGGTCCAAAGGATCAGAGGACCAGTGGTTTCTGAAGCAAAGGTGGCAGACAAATCTTGAATGATTAACTCGAACTGTGAGCAAAAATAAGTAGCAGCTCGACCGTGAGAGCTCAGCATATAAATTAAAATCTCTCAAACCCGAGTTGCTGGTGGCAAATTGTACCAAAGGGCATTGAGAGGGATATTATCTACATCTGTTTTCTTTGTAGTTAACTTCATTTTCCACATTTTGTGTTTTTTCCCCGGAGAACCCTTTCTTTTGTACTATTTTTCGCCTAAAATTACAACTCAAGGACTCAATGATCCAAACAGAACATGTTCATGAGGCACGTGTCCTTGTTTCAGTCATGTTTTTACAAATGTAGCCTGGTTTTTTAGCACACTTTCCTTTTTTCAACATATATGTTAACTCTGACCAACCAAATGGACAAATGCACTCTTGTTCTTATTAACATAGAGATGAATCTATGATATTACTGAAAACAAGTGTCATTAGGATGAAGGAAAATGCTCACACTTCAGAGGCAATCAGTCAATTAAACAGCCCCTGCTGAATTAATAACATCTATATTTAATTCTTCTCAAAACTATTTAAAATATGAAGAAGCAGGTGTTTTGGGATATCTAGGGTAATGTTACATGGACAGGTGTAAATGGGATTAGAGCTGGAGAGAAACATCATTTGAGCTAGCAGAACAAAGGAAAGCTTCTGATTATGCTCTGATTGCAGCATTCTTATTAGGCCCTCTACAGACAAACCCTAATTGACTAAACTCATTTAACACCGAATCTTAGATGGAGAACAATCCCAAAGTGTGAAATATAGAAGCCTCTCGACTTGATTTAACAAGAAGAAAAACTTTTTAAAGCTGTTGTGATTTGAAAAAAAAAAGTTTGACAGCAAACTTTTGCACAGTCTGTCAACCAATATGCATCTGATTACGGTACATTGTCATTTATACATAGAGGCAATGTGCAGTGGTAATTAAATTAAGTATTTTCGACTTCACTAACATTCACCCCTGAAAAAATGGGAATTCTCCAGTAAAAGGCGTACAAACTCATTGTTCATCATCACCTCATATCCATCTTTATCAGACTCCCAAAAAATTCAGCCATGCCCAGTATTCAACTTGTCAAACCAAAGAGAGCCAACAATAGGAGTTGTCTTTTCTGTATGAACCATGTTCAACCCTGAATAGGATGCTTCCCTTATTCTTCAATTAAATGTATCTTTATTAATCCCAGTGGTGGCAACTCATTAATGCACCCAACGGTCTAAAATTGCTGGGCTTCAGAGCATGAGTGACCACACTCTTTTATGACTTCACCCCTCATTTTCTGTATGTGCTCCATAGAAGGCATAAAGGCATCATTGTTTATCTAAGGATAGTTCAGAGTTCTTGTAATTACTGAAGAGTGATGATCTCACTTTCTCTGTGAATGCCGTCTCTCCTCTCTTACAGGAAGCTACCGCTGAAGGAAGAAAATGGCAAAGAGTCTCTCAAGCCGGATACGATTGAAATCAAGGTGCACGGCGACAACAGCTTCCACATAAAGCCAGACGACAGTAAAGCGTAAAAGTGAGCCGGTTCCCTCTCCACCAAAAGAACATTCGGATCATGAGACCAAAACCCAGAAAAACTACAACACTGGAAAATAGTGGAGTTAAATACTATCTGTTTATAACAATGCCCAAGTGAAAGGCCTGTGTAAATACAAATAGTAGAGAGAAAATAGACAGAAAAAAAGGTCAACCTTTTCGACAACCAGAGCAGTTAACACGTCATGTTTTCACAAAACATGGAATCAGTGAAAGGCTCTCGTTGATTAATGATGTATATTGTTTTATTTGCCTTTTTTTTTTTTTTTACTTTAGTCTGTTCTTAGGTGTAATTTCTCTTATTCTGCTTTTTTTTTTTACGCCATCGTCCCATGGGAGAATTTCATGCAGTTCAGTGGTGTTTCCACCCGTCCTCCTCTTTTTAACTTTGTGTGGCAAAATACGATTACAAGAGGAGTCATTGCTGATTTTTCTTCTTCTGTCATATGAATGTATAGGAACAACATGACATTGATTCACAGCTCTTTTTCTATGCTTGAATGTTACACTACAGGACCAATGTTTTACCCCCATCAGGAGCTGAGCTGGAATGTAGCTTGTCGGAAAAATGCATCCTGTAACCGTTCTGGGATGAAACAGCTCACAGCAGCCAAAAATGATGAAAAATATAGAGTTATTGACTATGGACTTAAAAGCAGGCTTGACAAACAACACACGATTGAAAATTTAAGTAAAAAAGACATTTTTCAGTCTGCAAAGCGTACGGTAGAGTACAGTACATGTAGATGTAATGGTTCATCCCTCTAAATGGACACCAGCTCTCATCAACAGTGTGTGCATACATGTTTTAGCCATCGCGTCTCAAACTGCAGTAACAGCACTGCAAGCCAATTTTCTATTTGATATATGTGTATTGACCAGATTCTGACTATGTTGAAAAGCATTGATGCTGAAGCGTTGATGGTGGCAGCAGGAAAAGGTGTGAGTAGTGTACCCCGGAGCATGGCGACAAGTGTGATTTCTTTATTCAGTCTCAAAATCCGCCTCACATGCTTCTTACGTTTGTTTTTCAATCTTTTAAACTTTTTTTGTTACTTGGTCTGATGTTGTTGGGTTGTACATAGATGGAAAAAAAAGAATATTTTACAGAGCTTTTATGTAAATATACTCTAAAGGATGTGTCTTTGTTTTTTTTCCTAACGCACAAAAGCTTGGCTTTTTGTGTGAACAGTCCTCAGATGAAAAGCTGTTTTTTTTTTGTCTCTCCTTCCTCTTCCCCCTCCATTGTGTTCTGGTCCAAAGTTCAGTGATGGTGTAAGATTGCTTTTCCTACTCATTTGCTTTCCCTCTACAAAACCCATGCCCTAAGGCTATTTCACGTTGTTTCAGTGGAGGCAGTAATTATGGCATTAATGTGCCTTCTTTCTTTCTGACTTTGCCCACCCAACCCCCCCCCCCCCCTGCCCCCCCCTCTTGTGGCCAAGTGCTGCTGCAGCAGTGTTCTCCACCAAATGAATTTTAGTGTGACTTGGCTGCTTTTTTTTTTTGGTTGGTTTGATTTTCCCACAGGGAAAATATCAGAGGGGAGGCTTTTCTCGTGATGCTCTGAAGTTTCGAGAATTGTCGTATTTTGATTGTGGGTTGTAGTCGACAGCACTGGACCGAAACAGATGTGTGTAACTACTTTGTCAAACTAAATGTCAGGTCGATGTTGTTACTCGGGTAAAAAGTTAGGTGCTGGGCTGCAGAAAGCTGGTTTTAGAGGTGTGCAACGGCTCATCGTGTTGTATTTGTGTGTGTGCATACATGCATGGGCGAGTCAATACACTTCAGGCTGCATATAAGTCTGTTGAATGTACCTGCACGTACTGTGAGTCACACGTGTGTGGGTGGGTGTGCGCTCAAATTTGACTGTCTCCATTCTTATTTTTAAGAATTATCTAAAAAATAATCATATTCTAAATCAAACAGTTTAAAAAATTCTATGTTGCCTTTACAGCATCTATTTTGTGAGATTTTTGTTAATTTTGTAAAGTAGATGAAAGTGTGTGTTCCGTGTCATGCTAGTGATTGCCACATGCCATGTGCGAATGCTGCCACTGTTCCAGAGCCTTCACGCTGAGATTCGGGGTGCACTCTGATGAGTAAACCTGATTATGTAGTTCTTGACAGTGATTAATTCCCCAGACTGCAGCATTCTGTGCATGTGTCTGCGAGCCCCTGCTTCTGTTCCCTGCCTCTCAGACTCCACTGGTTTTTATCTCAGACCCTGTAGCGCTGGCTTTGTTTTCTCACAGCGAGCCCTTGTACCTGCATATCTCAAATGGATGTTCCTGCCATGATGTGGTTCTGCTGCCTGTTATGATCACTGCAAATACGGGGGCACAGTGCCTGGAGGCTATACAATTTATATATTTTCTTTTGTATTTGAATTGAGTCCAAAAAAAACCTACCCTGTTCCACCTCTTTTTTTTTCTCTCCGTTTTCCTTCTTTGTGTCCTCCTTCAGACCTTGCTCTTTTTTGTGTTGGAGGGTAAAACAGGTGTGTTTAAGGTCAGTGTACAGTATCTGTCCTCTTTGTCCCCATTCTCCCTGTGTCCCTTGGACTGTCCCCTCTGAGTGTGCTTTGTGCAGGAGGTGGGAGCTATTGATGTCTCTGTACGTACCTGTGGAACACTTGTGACACCTTTCATTTGCCGCTGTAAATAAACATGTCCTGGTAGAAGAGAGTGAGAAGTTGTCCTTTATACTTCATTATTGTGCTTTTACTTGCTGTCTGTTACGTCATTCAGAAGTGTGTCTCGCAGCCAGGTTCTAGACTGAAGGCCTGGGGATCATCAGTTCTGTCAAGTGACAGGAAGACTGGGATTTGGGGTGCTGCCACTTTTCCAGAATATGGACGAATTTTCAACTCCCACCTGCAGGTGAGAAGAAATGTACACAGATTATCAGAAAAAGCTCAAGAACTAGCAAGGCACAGGTCTGCAATGGACTGTAAGCTGTTCTAACACCAGCCTCTAGAGCCCAACAAGGTTCAGAGAGGATGCATCTGAGTTTGAAGTGAAATGAGATGGTATGGGAAATTCGAAGTGAGATTCTGAAGATATTAAGAAAAGACTGGAAAATGCATCACCCATATGCACAAATAATCAATATTTTCTAAATGTTGTTATTTTAAAATCGGGTGTGCTTTCTGATGTAATGAATGACACTGGCCAGCATGGTGGGTAAGTCTTTAGAGATACTGACAGTGGCTGCACATTCCATCATAAACCACTGCTCTGTGCTTTAGTCTGCTGCCACTGTGAGATACACTTTTTTAAAAAGACTAAGACACCACATCATTAGCTTTTAATTCATTCTCTGCTGAAGTTGGGAGAGCTCATTTTTTTCAGAGAATGGGGTTCTATTTTCATCAAGGTTAATCCTAAACCCTCATTACTCCTACTTTAAACAGTAACTCCACTGCATTTAAATCTGGCTTCCGTTCCTTGCAAAAAGGACTTTAATGATTAAACAAAGACAAGCAGAAACTCGGAAGCTTCGCTCAAAGGAGGAATTAAAACAATTCTGAAAAGCACACAGCGCTCCAAAGCCACAGTGTTCCCGAACAAAGCTGCTTCGTCTTCAGCACTCATTTGAAGTCAGCAGATATGGTTCCTCAGACGGAGGGAGGGAAGCAGCGGTCTGTCTTTTGGATCCTGGCTGCAAGGGTCTTTGTTAACAGGGAGAACAAACTTAGACTTCATCTCCCATAGGGGCTCAAAGGAAGCCTGCACAGCCAACACTGAGTCTCATTTGGATGAGGAGATGCAAGGAGGAGTGATACTGCCATACCGGGTGTAAGTAAGGAGGAGGGAAGGCGAGTGTTGGACAATCTTACGAGGAGTCGAAAAGACGTATGGTCTGCCACAGGTGATTACACACATACACACACAGACAAGAAAATGTAAGCAATTGACCACACACTCACAGAGAAACCCGTTTAGTCTATTGAGCACAGCTGGGAAGTCGCACATCGTGAGAGAAGATAGCACGGTAAGCCTTCAAGTAATATTTCTTTACTAATCTTTCCCTTGCAGAGACTTCCATGACTGCTCTGACGGCATCCTAATCCCGACTGTGAGACAAGTTTGGGAAGTCTGGGACTAAATCTCTCAGCAATTGTTGGAAGTTTTTATACACTGACAAACATGCATTCACTTATAAGATTTCTCATACTCAGATTAATTCTTGAAGCTCGGCCAGCATGTGAGGAAGTGGAGTGTCTCCAGAGGAGAGCTTTTTGGCAGGTAGAACCTCCACTTCCTTAATCTGCCTTATTTCAGCTTGTCCCAGCAGAGGTTCAGCTCAGATAGTTTGACAGTAGAGGAGATGAGGAGAGGCAGGTATGCGCATGAAGAAATTAGAGGTATAATGACTTTTTCTCACAAATCATCTGGTAATAACTCTGCCGTGAAAAGATATGTTGTCACACTTTAGTCATTTCAAGTTACTAAAGTTATAACAAACACTTTTATGAAATCTTAGGGGCTTAAATATTGGTACAATTTTTTCACATTCGCATGTAACCAGTGATTTAGCCAGGGTTTTTTTGTCCTGCGTCCGTGTGGTCTCGTCATTTCCTGTTTTATTTTGAATAGTAACCCTCATCTCGTTTCAGGTCACTCGCACTTCCCGGTGTGTCATCGGTCCAATTGTCTTCCTGATCACCTATTGTGTTCACCTGGGGTTCCCTTTCCCTCATGTGTTAAATAGTCCGCGTTTCCCCTTGTCTTGTGCCAGTGTGTTACTGAGTTTAACCTTGTCTTGAACCAAGCCTTGCCCCTTGTATTTCCTCGTAAAAGAGATTTAGTTTTTTTTATTCCCCTTCCTCTTTTGTTTAACTGAAGTGAGTATTATTTTGTGATTTTCTTTCATAGCCTTTTTTTCCTTCCTCGTTTACAAGTGATTTTTTTTTTATTTGATACTTTTGAAACCTCCTTGTTGAGCGATATTCTTTATACTTTGTTTCCAC